TAAATATATTTGGGAAATTAAAAACGTAAATCAAATCACAACAAAAACATCATGGACAATAAGGAAATCAACACCAGCCTACAATAAATCCCCAAACTGTAAACTGGAGAAGAAAATAACTAGAATTACATTCTCAGACTAACACAAATTATTAAATAAATGATCAGAACTCATCTCAAAATGCAGACACGAAAACGATTTTTTACTACGTTACTTAAAAATCAAAAACTAAAACCGAACATAGATAAAAAAAGTAAATAAATAAGTAAAATAAATTAATCCAAACCAATAAATGTAAATAAATTAAATAAATAAATACGAACGCACATATAAACACAAGTAGACGAAATAATAACAACCAACAACTAATCGATAATAACAATTAAGCTAATCGATAATAAATAATGAGTAAAAAGTTAACAACACAACAAATAGCCGCAAAACTACACTGGGATAAACAATTATTTCGTCTCTATAGCCTCATAAAATAATTCGAAACATTACCATTAACACCTACACAAATAACCGTTAGAATAGTACAACAGGCCTACCCATAAATGTCAATTTATAAATAGTCGAGCTAAAACACAACGCATATAGCATGAATATTTCGGGTGGTGACTTCAATGTCCAGTTATATATATATATATATATATATATAGAGAGAGAGAGAGAGAGTAATCCACAGATAGATTGTCTGTGTGGCTAGACGTCCGATTGCTTCAAGCCGGGATCGAAATCCGACCGATTTGGTATCAGTCAGAGATTCTACCCTACCCCTAGGCTAGCGTCGCATGGCATAGAGGAAGGGAAATTTTAACGTTTTCTATGCGGTTAGTGGCCCGGAAAGCTCAATTCAATTTGGTTGAAGAGCAATATATATATTAATACAAGTAAAAATACGTCACTTAGCTGAATAACGTTACCTTCAGTATCTCAACTCCAGTGTTTTGTAGATAGACCCTCCAGGAATTACTCCATCCATTCGTCAGGTGTGTATCAGCAATTGACTGCTTATACTTCTTTATTTTTCTTTTTTTATATGCACTCTTCATTAATGCAAGTTTTTTTGTTCATAGTGCATGTGTTTGCGTGCATGTACCCGTCTGCGGATATGTGCATACGTGTAGAATGCAGTGATTATTTCTCCTTTTGGGGTTTTTTTTTTCACATTACACTAAAATGTAACTTCTTGCCCTTTTCTCTATTTTTCTTTTTCCTCAATTGTGTTGCCATCTGACTTCCGTTTTTTCTAAACAGGCTGTTAATTTTTGAGCTTTCTCGAGTTAGGAAAATCGTATTTCATTTTTTATCAGATAAGCAAACGAAATAATGGCCAATTGAAGACATATATAAATATTTACTTTATTATTTAAGCATTAAAATTTATTATTTATGTCTTTACTTATTCATTATTTCGTTTTCTTACCTGATTTGGTGGTATCTTAAGTACTAGTAGGGTATTAATTGCAGGAGGTTAAGTTTATAATTACATTTTTATTTATTATTGTTTGAATTTGTATGCATGTGCTTATATTCATACATATATTACATTCATGCATATATACATGCATATACATATAGAGATATACACACATGCACATACATATGTATACAAACGCGCGCAAACAAACACATGCATACTTGTGTCTGTGCTTTGTTATTAATATATATAACTAGTGCTTAAATGGTAAAGGGATTTTTTTTCCTTATTTTAGGGTATTAATTATGGGTGGTTATTTTATTTATTTTATGTTTGTTTTTATTTTGTTTGATCTTGTTTATTTTATTTTATTTTGATTTTGTTTCAAAACTTCTGGTGGTCTTATCAAGTGATGGTGATATGAAACCAGAAGTGTTGAAACAAAATGGCTATTTTTGTAGGGATTTTATAACATATTTATGTTATAATTTTCGAATAAATAATTGCTAAATTAATATTTGCTCTACTCTGTATTGAGCACTCTTTTAAGAATAGTAGTTTTTGGTTATTGGAATTTATTCCGTATACAATTCAATCCTATACTTATATATATATATATATATATATATATATATATATATATATATATATGTGTGTGTGTGTGTGTGTGTGTGTGTGTGTGTGTGTGTGTACACATACATACATATAAACATGTATGTACATATATATATATATATATATGTATGCATGTATGTACACACAGACACACACACAGACAGACAGACAGACACACACACACACACACACACACACAATGGATGCGATGGATAAATTGTCGTCTAAATTACACAAGAATGAAAAATAACACTGACATTGCATTTCAACAGATATATTAACCAGAATTACACAAAAATATCTTGAAATATTAAGAGTGCAGTCTGTGGAATTAGTTGGTCAGATGTAAGGGGTGATGTGGCCGCGGAGATTATGTGACAGTCATGACTGGGTTCACCTACTTGTGTGACATTGTGCAGATTCCTGTTGTCAGCAGCGACCCTCTTGACACAAAGTAGCACTACCTCCTGAAGACACTTGGTGTAGGCCTTCGTGTTGGGTCTGAGGTTCTCACCTACAAATTCGAGAATTCTTTTCTTAGAACGGTCAGAGTGAGTTTTTCGAGCTGCAGTACCTTTGTAATTACCATTACACTAATCCAACCCTTTCCAAATCCTCTACACTGTTCTCAGATTGGCGCCCAAACACTCTGAAATGTTCATATTGGAGCTTCCGGGACGAATGTCAAACAGTATAGGATGTCGTTCGCGATTTTTTGGCGTAGTGAATTGAGTTATGGTGCTCTTTTTCTCACAGATGATGTCCAACTGACCCTGCCGTAGTTACCTCCTCCTTCGCTCCTTAAACTAAGAGAACAGGTCAATTCGACCTTGACCTCTCGGTTGTGCTCCCTACACACTGTTAACCCGAGGTAGAGACTAGCAAGTTACCTTTTTAGTTTAGTTGTATTACAAACCTAGTTGTAATATACTTCTAGGCATTTTAGGCCTTAGTTTCCTTTTAGCTAATCTCGACTTATTTTTTATAGAGACTTTACTGTGTTAGCTTACCAATTCTCTTGCTAGTCTCCCTTACCACAAGACAGTGACTTCTCACTAAATTTAGGGTCGGCGACTGAAACGGTCGGATACGCAGGCTCCTGGCCGGAGGCCAGGAACGTCGACCACCGGGCTGCGTATTAAGTTACGCTCCCATTTTTTTTGTCTGCCAACTTGACGATAGTTGGAAACTTTCCCTTCCCTCTCTCCTTCGCCTACTACTCCTGGCTCCTTGGCCCTATTCGACGCTCGGCATTCCGTCCCTACTGGCTGCCTGCACGTCGTCCATAACCTTTCCCGTACACAACGTTTGTAATTATTACGGGAGGTTACTAATATCGGACTTGACCGGCAACACGCAACGCCTGCACTAGACCTTTGACATGCCCGAACAACGCCAACTACTCTTTCATTCCCAACACGTCAAGTTAGCATCCCGGCCACTACCAACATCAACTGCAACAACCAACGGCGATCATCCCGACAACGACCAACATCAACTTCAACTACAGCGATCACCGGCAACGACCAGCAGCGACCACCTGCATGACCAGCAGCGATCACCTGTAACAACCAACCTCGACCATCAATGCCTGCACCGGAACATCTGCATCTCTACCGTTCCGACCACTTTTATTTCTTTTCTAGAATAAATTAGCATATATCATATATATCCTCGTTCTGTCGTTCTGTCGTCTATGTTGTTTCACCTTGTCAGATTTAACGTCTTCGAAAATGCTAGCGGGCCTCTTGTGACCTCATCACCCTTTTGTGATACGGGGGCGCACGAGGGGTCCGCTACAACCCTACTAATTTTTTTTATTCTGACCTTTCTGCAGTCAACAAAATAAAAAACAACACGCATGCCTGAGGTTAAAAATATAAAATGGTGACTCTACTGGTCGTGTTGACCTTTCTCACTAGGGGGCTGACTTTAAAAGGCTATTCACAGAATAACAAATATTGTTTATCGACTGGATAACCAGTTAGCCCACATAGTAGTAATTTCTAGTGTTGCTAAAATTCCTTCTTTTCTTATTTTCTTTTTTATTTTTAAAAGAACTAAAGAAACTTTTCACATGCCAACAATAACAAAGCAAAAAAAGTAGTTAAAAGGTCGACTACCCCTAAAACTTGGTCTGTCTTCAAAATGGACATTTTTCCAGACTGCTACCAATATCAACCTTATTAATGAATTTTTTGCTACTAACGTACTCATCACTCTAAAATAAATTAATAAATACATTATTATATTTCACTTCGTTTTATTCCAAAATTTCCGATAAAGAAAATAATACTTACCACATCCACACTGATACACACAGATTTGTTAGATTTATTTATATTTTTCATTTATTTTTTTTATTATGAAGTAAACGAGTTGAATAGAACGAATTAGTCGATTTTTTTTTAGTACGCCCTATGACGTCGATCTTTGTGAAGCCAACCATTAGTGCTGCAATGAACTCTTTTATGTATACCTGTGAGGTAAAGATAACAAAGAATATAATAAAAATAGGTGATTGTTGTTTTCTATTATTCACGACACTCCCGTTTTGCTCCACCTAGTGACATCATTTCAGCTGACCAATCATCTGAATATTGACTGGATTCATAAAAATCGTTTTCAATGTTTTATTTTAAGCAGAAAGGGTATTTATTATATCACTTGGTTCGAAGATTGAAGGGCAGCGAAAAAAAGATTGCAAAAGTGAATACAGTAATACTACTAAAAAATAGATCTAGAAAACGTTAAATATATTTTTAGTACATCTTTCAAACAAAAATAAGGAAAAAAATCAACGAATTGTACTTTTACACCTACAGTCCGACATTTTAGTCGGATATTGAAAACTCCAGTTATTAAACAGGAAGATAAATTACTATTATTACTTTGATTGTATCAAAATTGTCTCCAAGGTGTAAAATAACAAACAGGTGAAACGAACTCAACTGACCGAAAGATGTCCTGGCATCTATTTCTCACAGCTATTTTCACAGGTAATTTTCATGAATTTTCCTATTTCCCTTCGTTTTATTTTTTTTATTGCTTTACCTCATCTATTCGGACACAGAATATATCATTATTACTATTATTACGTTACTTTTTTCTTTTTGAATGTTATACTGTTTTCTCTTTTATTTCTTCTTTTTCATCATGCTTTTAATATCAAAATATAACAATGTTGTTGTGCAGTTTTAAATACATGTGTCATTTTCCAAACGTAATCCCGAGTTTGGTGAGATATAATGCTAAATCTTTGCTCTTCATGGAATCTCAGTGTAATAATAAAGATTGATAGCCTTTGAGGAACTCCCTTAGCTTATTAAATTTTAATGAAAATAATCAACAAGTTTTACAATTTAAGAAAAACCTAAACAGGTTACAGTTGGTGATTTATAAAGTACGCCTTTGTTTCTTCGTGGTGAGTTCCTTAAGGGCCAATAATCTTCGTTTACAAGGAACTTCCTTTAAACTATTAGGCTTATTAAGTTTATTTTTTTTAAGTTTATTTTAATTACAAAGAAAATATTGGAAATGGAATAGCTTCCATAGATAGACGTTTTACAGTTGTAGATAAAAAGAAATAAAAACGCGAACTACTTTTTTAAAGATAACTTCAAAAGTTGCGTTCATTTATGTAACAATCTAAAATAAAGTCCAAATTAAAACGTGCAATTTAAATATTTTAATCAAGCAACATCAACCACTTTTCCTACTACTTCAAATGAAGACAGAGATTTTGAAATTTTTATAATTTTGATCATTATGATGACGGATGAGATTTTTTGACAAATTTAATCATGAGCAAAATTTGTAAATAGTTTCTTTGGGGGAATTAAAACTTCATTAATTAGAAGAAAATTCAAATAGGGAGACAAGGTGAAATATGTTGGGTGAACTTTTCGATGGAGTGGCTCGTCACTTTTGGTAGTAGCCTTGTATTTACTGTAAATGAGACTTATTGATTAAGGATTTCAATTAGTGCGTTGTGATAAAATACGTTCAACATAAGGAGTTGTGAGTGTTACACACTTGTTCTGAATATTTACGTAACAACGAGACGTTTTATTGTTTCTATGGATACAGTGATTAACAACTGTTTTGTGCGGATGTATAGATGTATAGACTTACATACTTTTGTTGTCCTTACTCCGAGCATAAAACAAAATGCCTTTTTTTTTATCCCTATAAAAAAATTAAATTGTTATCACTTGAATCTATACCACGGGCTTGGCGGTATAGATTTTGAGTTCGTGACAAAATGAATGTTGATTCGAGTATACATGCATACGCAATTGTAATCTTATCGCTACATACAGTCCCGACACCGAACAGTCCAGTTTCAGTAAAAAGTGGGATGGACTTCACCTCCTACACCATAGCGCCATGGATGCCATTGTGTCCGCCGCCCGACACAAGCATTCAGGTTTAAAGATACAAACATCATCATGACCATAGTCACAAATAGAAGCCAAAGACCCAGACCAATAATTTCTCGGACATTCAGGCCGGTAAATGTTATTTAATACTGTTTATCATAAACAGAGCATTTGCTTAAATACTTGTATCTATAAATAACAACGTTAAACATAAAAATGACCTTGTCCATTTCTTAATATATATATATATATATTGTTACGAATTCGCAACATATCAAGATATGGACATCAGGTAAAAAACAAAAGGTGGTTTCGCTCAGATAGGAACACACAATAGGTATCTACAAACAACAAACACAAGATTAACATTTGTAAATAAATTTTATACAACAAAATACAAAATATGGGAAAAGTATGGAGTGACAGACGTACAATTAATAAAAGAATACTTATCTGGCTTCATGAATTTGGACTTCGAATGTTCATAATGACGAACAATTTGTAGAATGCACGCACAAAAGTTGGTGTGTTTCTTATCACTCACGATCGCATGATGAGAGACTATTTTTTCACGAATTTTTGTCGTTGGAAGTCATCGAGAAAACTAAAGTTACAATGCCAAAATCCCAACGTGAGCGTAGGTGACCGATTCTTATTTACTTTCTTATGATGTCATTCTTCTGGTTGCCAAGCTACACCAAATTCCTTTCTTGCTCAGTCCAGATAGGTAGTAAACAAAAAGACAAGGAGAAGAAGAAACACAAAGACAGAGCGTCTCGTATTAAATTTAACACTTAGCATTGAGAGATACGTCACAATATATATATATATATATATATATATATATATATATATATACTGCGTTTCAAATTATTAACGAGGTGACATTTTTTCTTTTTATCCCAAAACTACCAGTCGGAATTTAATTAAATTTTCACAGTATAATGAAAATAGGTATATGCGTATGTATTGTTCTGCGCAACAGGAAACAAACAGTGGCCATTTGCAATATTTACACAATATAGAAGTGTTCCAGACTATAAACAAGTGTCATTATAATCGTGCAATAATGGGTTGCAAATGTGACTTGACTTCTGAAAAATATATTATAACATGTGAACATTCCAAAGGAAAATCTACATTAGAAATATCCAAAATAATTGGAAGATATTACCAAAATGTGAAAAGATTTGTTGCAGCTCATACGAAGTTATGTAAGAGAACTGATAAGGGTCACTCCCTTGTTTTCCGACATTCTTTGTCACGAATGAAACGTGAAGCTGTGAATAACCTAGGCCTGTCTAGTGGAGGACTTTTCAGAAGCAATGAAGAAGCAACAATGTCCAGAAGTCACCGCTATCGTCTTCTGAAAAAGGTCGGGACATCATTGAGACAAGTGACAAAGCCTCGATTGACAAAAGTAAGCATATAAATGCGTTTGAAATGAGCAAAGGAGAACAAGGCCGATTTCTCGAAATTTCTGTTCGCAGATGAAAGTCGTGCAACACTTGATGGCCCTGATAGATGGAGCAAAAGTTGGGTCGTAAATGAATGAGATCATCATCAACACTTGACACGTCAGAAGGAGGAGGGGGTATTATGATTTGGGTTGGTCTTATCGGAGGTATCATGGTTGGTATGAAAATAACCGCAGATGCTTATATAGCCTTCCTCAATGAGCACCTGGAATCATGGGTAAAAAGCAAAGAGTCACCTTCAGGAGAACCATCATATTTATGAAAGATAATACTCCTTCGCATTCAGCGCATAAAACTATGGTGTACCTACAGAAATTAAGCTTCTGTGGACCTCAGAAGAGGAACTTGCCGGTTAATTCTCCAGACTTAAACCCAATTGAAAACTTGTGGAGCATTATGAAGCAATGTGCTTATGAGAATAGACGCCAATGTAGAAGCAAGGATGAATTATGACTGGAAATAGTCAACGTAACACTGGAAATTACATCAGAGGAGATCCAGAAATTGCCATGTTCGATGGACCAGCGCATTTTCCAAGTCATTTCAAAAAAGAAACTTCTGTTTCTTTTTCTAGAACTTTACCATTTTTATAGCATAGGTGTATATACATGTTATCATAATTCTCCGATAATTTCTTTAAATTCCAACCAGTAGTTTTGGGATAGGATGGAAAAGTGTCGCCTCGTTAATATTTTGAAATATATATATATATATATATATATATATATATAACGTCATCCACAGACAGACTGTTTCGCTGTTTATAGCTCATCAGTGTGGCTAGACATCCGGTTGCCTCTAGCTAGGATCGAGACCCGCCTGAATTGGTGTTAGTCGGAGCTTCTAACCACTAAGCCGTCGGCGCACGGTAGGGATGAAGGTGGATTTTTAGCATATTTATTTTTAGAAACATGCCCAGTGACTGACAGTGACTCAATTCGCTTTCGTGAAGAGTCTCGCTATATAGCTATAATAGTCACAGTTTATATATATATATATATATATATATATATATATATATATATGTGTGTGTGTGTGTGTGTGTGTGTGTGTGTGTGTGTGTGTGTGGTGTCTTCCCTCCAAAGAGTCTTTGTTGATGATTAGAATGAGAGAAGATTGGACGCTGGTCAACCGACACACACTTTTCTGTTGTACTTACTGTTAATATATGATATATCTGCAACACTTATTTTGTTATTTCTTTAACCATTTACTTGGACACAACATCTTGGCAACGAAGGATTCGAAGAAAACGGACTTCATGTTAAGTCATAAAAAAAATTTGCAAGCGTCTAGGAAAGGAATTCTAATCCAACTCCACGACCAAAGGGTATCCAGTGTTAATTACAACACTGACAATGAAAAAAAGAAACTCCTCAAAACAATAGGATTTCTACAAGTTCATTTCAGTGGTTGGGAAGAAGGTTGTTGAACCTTGTTATTTTTTCCATTCCAAAAAGTCAGTAAAAGAACTGTACAAGTCAAGCAGACTTATTGTTGGTTAAGAGGGTAAAGAAAAAAAAATCCCGCCTCTCATTTCTTAATTTTACGCAGTAAAATTGACAAATTGAAAAGTGCAATACTAAAGTCGATGCAACACCAACAGGAACAACAACTACTGCTGGAACAGAAATATCATGAAAAAGAAATTCCAACAGAAATTTTAGGAATTACACCTAGAAATTTAGTTAGACAACAGAAATTGGAAGAAATGCTCTTTCAAACACAGATTGAGCAAAAGCACTTGTTTAATATATCCATCAAAAGCCAAAATGAGGACAGCAAAAACGCGTTCTCTCAAAATGCTATATGGAGTGCTACTGAATACTTCACGTTTGCACCTGAAGAAGAACTTCGTGCTTTAAGCGTTACGAGGACTCCTCATACGGATTGTGCAAGTTGGGCTGACCATAAAAAGGTTTGCCTACTCCTCAGGAAATTAGGCACAGCAGAATATACTAAATTTGTTAACTATATTTTGCCTAAGAAAACCAGCGACTTGAAATTTAAAGAGGTGGTTCAATCATTAACAGAACTCTTCAGTCCAAAAACATCACTGTTCCACAAGCGTTGGAAATGCATGAATCTCACCCGAAAAGAAGACGAAGATTATACTACTTTCGCGAGTGTAGTCAATAA